GTGGCAGACCTCTCCTGACCCGCCCGCTGCTCCCCTCAGCAGTGTACTTCTCAGTCAACCTGTTCTGCTCCCCACTCTGTCTCTGGTGAATCCTATCACCCTCCGCATCTCTGGCCTGTACCCCAGTTCTGTATGAATAAATAAATCTTAAAAAATTAAAATTAAAAAATAAAGGTATCTTTGGTTTTTCTGAGGGGTAGCAGAAACCTTATGCTTGCTCTGTTACCGGTTAATGAAATCTCAAGAAATTGATTTTTGTTGTTGTTTTTTATGTTCAAAGTTTTACACTTTGTTTGCATTATCTTAATATTGAAATTCTAAGAAGCCGGGATACCTTGGTGATAGTGATGTTTCTTGTCATCAAATTTTCTTTAAGATTATCTCATTTTCTTCTTCCTGCCCTCTGATTTTGATGACTTCTCTAATTCTTTCTGCAGAAATAGTGCTCTTGTGCTTTCCATATAAGATTTTGTGGCTTAAATTACACATAACATTAAAGTAAATGAGTTTTATGATCTATAAGAGAAGAATGATTATTTGAATGCAGAGTATTCAAAATCTGTTTTGTGAAGCTGTATTGTAGATTAGCAGCGTAATGTTAGAGTACTTTAAAACTATAAACTGTTTATAAACTATAAACAGTTGTATATTTAACTTTAAAGTAATATCTAGTGTTACTTAAAGAGTTTATTGACAACTATTTCTTATTTTTCACTTTTTTACTGACATATTAGAATCTTTAATACTGTTTTTTTTTTCCTGTATGTCATTTAGTGCCTCATTATTTTCATCTCTCTCTCGTTTTATGTTGTAGGCTCGTTATAGAAAAGAGCAAACATTGCTTAAGCAACTGCCTTGCATTCCATTGGTAGAAAACTTGTTGAAAGATGGTACAGATGGCTGTGCTCTGGCTGCCCTTATTCATTTCTACTGTCCTGGTGTTGTCAGGCTGGAGGGTAAGTGTTCCACTGAATGATACCTAAATTGTAAATAAATGGCAACAAACATACTTAAGAATGCATTTTGTGAGTAATAAAGACTCTTTTAAAAAGAACATTTAGGTATAATTTTAGGAAGATAGCTGAGAAAAGTCATACTTGGTTTCTGTCTTTGGTGTAATCACAACTTTATACATGTGTTAGCAGATGCCCCGTGACTGCGTGTTTGTGCTGTCACTAATTACAAAGTGGATGTGAAATGTATATTATATCAGCTTCATCTAAAGTCACCACCTTCCTCTTTTTCTATTTAAAGATATTTGTTTGAAAGAAACCATGTCTTTGGCTGATAGCCTCTATAATCTGCAACTGATTCAAGAATTTTGCCAAGAATATTTGAACCAGTGTTGTCATTTTACCCTGGAAGATATGCTGTATGCAGCTTCATCCATAAAGGTAAATTACTCCTTTTCCCTTTGTTAGAAATATTCTTATCTAGATACATAATCTCCCCACTCCAAGCTTACTAATGAACTGTAGCATCAATCATAAGAGCTTTAAAAAACATAGTTTCTGTTTAATTTTTTTTGTATTACATGTTTTCATTGGCCTTTTCCAGTATAAAGCTAAAGTCAGTGCAGGAATGGGTGGATGTGCTTGGGCTAGCAAAACAGAGAATAAGCCTTTCTGGGTCACAGGCAGATGCTGACACATTGTGGAGGAAGCATAGAGGAAATACTGGTCACTGTCAGCATTCACCAGGACTGAGGAATGTGTCTGGGAAGAAGAAATCCTCAGATCCCTCAAGTTAAGACAAATCCTAGAAAAGGAAATAGGATGAGCCTTTTCAAATTTATTAGCCATTATCTCTTGCTTCAGAATGCCACACTAATAACTTCAGGCCGAGGCTTACTGCCATTCTTTGTAGAAATATTTATCGAGTACCTGGAAGTAACTTAGTGTGCTCTAGGTATTCTGGGGATGCTGCACTTGGCTTAGCAAGCCAAACAAGGAACTTCTGTGTTTTAAATAAAAGGCGAAAACAAATAATGGAGAGCAAGAAATGGATTCCAGAGATACTTAGGGTGTAAAATCTGCAAGCTTTGTTGATGAATTGAATATGGAGAGGCAGAAAGAAGGAAGCGTCAAAAACTTAAGTTTCTGGTTCACCTGCTGGGATAGTGGTGCCATTCTGAGAGGAGACTGAGATTTGTGGAGAAGATCACTACATCGGCTTTTGGACATGTGAGTGCCTTTCAGATACATAAAGGCAGATGCTGGTACACTGCTGCACACGTAAATAGCTGTTGTTTTGGGGGCAGTGTTGGCTGGCTGCCCCAGGCAGCGGTGTTCCTGAAGGGAGATCAGGCATAGAACTGCTGCTGGGAAGCCAAGTAAGATGGAGGCTGACAGATATGTCTGATTTAGCAACCTCTGTTAGTCATTGGAGGTTTGAGTAAATGCTCTTTGCAGGAGTGATGTCCGGGATGGTAGACGGGAGGCAATTAGGTAATTAAAAAGGATGAAATAGAAAGTTAATATGGGCTTACCCTTAGGTGAGTTTGTGAGGAGGAAAGAAGGTAGCAATGAGAAGAAACTAGAGAGTGGTGGATTCTTGCGTGAAAGTTTCGTTTTGTATTTTATTGGAGAGACTTGAGCCTGTTTAAAAGCCACTGGATAGGATGAGTAACTATAGAGGAGAAAGAAATACAATTAAGACAATAAAGTTTCCAAGAAGGTAAGCAGAGGTGGGACCCAGCACACAGCCTTCTCATTTCTTTTTTTTTTTTTAATCACAAACTTTAGTGACTACTTAAAATAGTATGTATTTTTATATGAATGTTAGAATGTGCTGGAAATTTATAGTTAAAACACAAACACTGGCAGTAGGAACCCACCAAAGCCTGCTCACCACTGCGCCGCGTCCACTCCAGACTCACTGTCCACGGCCTGCCGGCCTTCCACTGGTGTATCTGCACCACAGCGCAAAGCTGCCAACTCATAGTCCCTTCATGGCCTGTTTTTCCCAGTCTTTGTCTCTGTTAAAAGGTATTATAAGTAGCTGAAGGCAAAAAGACCTGAGTCACCCTTCATTCTTACACAATAGCCTTTAGGATATTTGAAAGTTGGCAGTTTAGGAGAACACTGAATCTCTATGAGGAACAAAACGGAGTGGCTAAGAGGGTTACAAGATTATCCCTTTGAGGATTAATGAGCAGGTAGGAGGCAGACAGGCCACCCATATTTGCAGTGATAATGTTGAACACCGAAATTTAATATGACGTAAGACCTCATCAAATCTTAATCACTTTGAAAGTAACAATGTTATTAGATAACAAATACCCAAAATTCAAAGGCATGCTGTTAAAACTTAACCAGTTATAATAAAATTATTACATATAGTTTTGGATTTTATGACTTACACATTTTAAAATATAGTAGTTTATAAACTTAAAATATGAGCTTAGTCCTTTTAATTTTAAACCATTTAAAAATTATTCACATTTTTAGATATAATAAAAGCAATGATACTGACTTAACCTTAGTAACTTTTCAAAGTCAGGTAGTACATTAAATTGTATGAATGTGTTTTATACTTCAAAATCATTAATTATTAACCATACCAACCTAGAGTCTTTGTTATTTATCTAGTTCCTGATTACTGTTGTTTATTGTTGTCAGACAGACACATACATGCATTATATTTAAGTGTATATTTCTCACAGTAATTTCTAGGGATCTGAAAAGAGCTTAATTTTTTCTCTTTTATGTCAACCCACTTTTCAGATTATCAAAGGTGGAGTAGCTATTCTAACTTTTTTGTTGAATGTGGAAGAAGAGAACCTTATACATTATCTCAAAGTTTTCCATAGTTAATTAATGGCTGCCAGGTAAATTGGGCTTCCTTTCTGGAACTATTTGTGCTAAACAGCAAAGAGGTTTTGAATAGGTGTTTCAGAGTTTACCTATAATTGCTGATGTTCTATTCCAGATTTAATAGCCTATAATAGGTCTGCTCCAGTCACAAATGAATGAGAGCATTTTAATAGGTAAGATAGCAAAATTCAGTTTGTAATTCTGGCCAAATTTTACCCACTGTTTCTTTCACTTGTTTTAACACTAACAGAATAATTACTTGGTGTTCATGGCGGAGCTTTTCTGGTGGTTTGAAGTCGTGAAGCCGTCGTTCGTGCAGCCCCGTGTTGTCCATCCGCAGGGAGGTAATCAGTCCTTTCAGCTTTAAGTGTCCTATGAGCAAGCAGAATTCTAGGTTTCCATGACTTCGTTTGGCTATTCTTTTTGAAGACACCCTACCATTGTTTAGATTTCAGCTATTAGCCTTGATCTCTAAATATTTTGATACTGAAAGCCACTAAATTCTCTGAGACAGATAATAAAGGAGAGAAAAATAAAATAGAGAGAATGGCTCTGAGTCACAAGCTTTATGTTGTCCAACTTTTAGCTTTTGATGGTTTCCCTGCTTTTTCTCTTCGAGTCTTATATCCCCATTCTAACTTTTATCCCTATTTCATTCTGAGTTGTTAACATTGTTGACAGGAATCCACTCAAATTTTGGCTTGACTTTATAATTTGAATTTTCCATTAATTCATTAAAAAAATGATGTGTGTATTTTTTAAACCAAATAGATTTTGTGATTATTACAGTATGATTAATTGATTGCTTGTAAGGATAATGAAATTAATATGAAATAAAATGATTACTGTTAAGTCCCTTGAGCAAAAAACTCTTGCATTTCTCTGAAGCACTTTTCCATTGACTTAATTATAAAATCAAAGATTTATTTCTATAAGGGAAAAAAATTAATCCTAAGCTTCCCCACTAAAGAACTTGACTTCTAGCATGAATGTGGGGCCGGTTCTTTAACCACTCCTCTTATGTCCCCCCTTGCTGCACCTCTACCCCCAAAAATGATTTTTTTATCTTGTGCTTATATTTTGTAAGTCCTAGGGATTTGCACACATAAAACATTAGAAGTCAAAATAATTGTTTATATTGCCATTGTTTAATTATAAATGTCATAATAATTACTTTTCAATAAACTATTTTTTGATTGATTTTGGATTTACAGAAAAAAATGCAAAAATAGTCCAGAGTCCTCATACTTATCCCAGTTTATTCTAGTGTTAGCATTTTGTATTAGAATGGCATATTTGTTATAACTAGCAAACCTGTACTGTACATTAGTGTTAGCCTTACGGAACAATTTCTGTCTTTGGATTTACCTGTTCTGGACATTTTGTAGAAATGAAATCGTAAAATATGTAATCTTTTGTGCCTGGTTTCTTCATTACTTAGTGCAATGTTTGCAAGAGTCATCTGTACCATAGTGTATGTCAGTATTTCATTCCTTTTTTGTAGCTGAACAATCTTCCTCTGTTTATATCAGATTTTTATTTTAACATTTGATGCATATTGGGTGGTTTCCACATTTCCAGTTCCATCTTTAGTTGTTACAAATAATGTTTTGTGTATATTTGTATAGAGAATTTTATTTTAAGATTTTTGTTTGAATCTGAATCAAGGTCTACATAGTAGGATGTTATATATAAATTTCTTTCAAGCTATAATTATGCCCTCCTCCCTTTAATGGCATCATTTCTACTAAGGAATTTCCTCTCAATTGAGAAGTCGCTGGTTGTACCCCATGGTGTCTTTTACCATATTCCTCTGTCCTCTTTATTTTTATTTTTGTATTGCTAGTTAGATTTAGAGACTTGATCTATGTCAGGATTTTGTTTTGTCAATACTACTCCATAGGGTAGTGCTCTTTTTTCCTCCTTAAATTTTATTAATTTGCCAGCTGTTCACATAGCTGTGTAATCTGGGAGCACAACTTCAGACCTCCGTGTGTGCACAAGCTGCGCTCGCCCTCCCAAAGCCCACACCAGCACCTCCGCATCCTAGCCCTGCCGCTCGCCCCCTTCTCTTCCAGTAACCACTATGTTTTTCACAGAGTCTAGGGTTATTTTTGTTCTGTTTTGCTATTTTATTTTCTGTGGTTATTCATGTTCCACAGATGAGTGAGACCGTCTGGATATGGCCTTCAACTCTCGGGCTTACTTCACTTAGTGTCATCACCATCCAGAGACCCATCCGTTTTGTCCCATCTTTTTTATAGTGTTCCTTTGAGTGCAGAGCCCACGGTTTCTTTATGTAGTTGTCTGTCGATGGACCCTTGCTGACTCCATGTCATGGATATTACAAACATGAGCGTACATAAATTTTTTTTTAAAGATTTATTTATTTATTCATACAGAACTGGGGTAGAGGCCAGAGATGCGGAGGGTGAGAGGATTCACCAGAGACAGAGCAGGGAGCAGAACAGGCAGATCGACGAAATACACTGCTGAGGGGAGCAGCGGGCGGGTCAGGAGAGGTCTGCGACACCATGTGGATCTCCTCCAGGGCAGGCGGGAATCGAACTCATGCGGAAGTGGCTTAAGCTTCTTAGTGCTGTGCTTTAACCGGCTGCGCCACCAGGGAGGGCCCCGTACATAAATTTTTATGCTTTCATAGACTTTATAGCCCTCCCCTCCAATTAAGAAAAGGAAAAAGGTCAAGAAGAAGGGGAAAATAGGTAACCAAAAGGGAAGCATCCATCACTGTAGTGATTTAGCGTGAGCTTATTTCACCCAACCCCTGCATCTCAGGGCAAAATTCTATAAAATATGTAACAAGAGCATTTAATTTTTCCATCTTTAAATTGCTATAAATAGCATCTCAAGCCATTGTATGACAAAAAATAAAAAGTTGAGATCCATCCCAGTTAACAAAGGTTTCACATTGCTTTCTATGATTTCATCAGTAATGCCCACTACTCAAAACACTCAGCAACTATTGTATCTCAAAGGAAAAAAGTATATCATCTTCCATAGTTACTTACTTACACTTGTGGTTCTAATCACTAACCTGTGAAATTGTGTCTGTCTTTAATTGATTACCAAAATGCCAACTATTTTATAAAGAAGTGAAAGTGATAGTATGTATTCAGGTTTTACGAAAACTTTAGCAAAGGTAGATGCTTGATTTTATTTTTATTTTAAATATCTGTGTTTTCTGTTAGGTCTCCCCTGGTCCTTCAGTTAGCCCTAATCAAGTGGTTTTTAGAAGTCAGAGCATTTGAAGTGTTTAAAGAAAATCTCTGTATTTTGAAAATTATTTAAAAGAAAACTATTTGTTCCCTGTTGGTAATAAATGAAATTGAGACTAAATTTAAATGTTTATGGTCCACAGTTCATGACACACGTGGTGAAATGCTAACCATGTTATTCTGAGGTTTTGTTTTGTTGTTTTTAATTGTAGCTGAACCTGCAAAAGATGTGCCTTCAGCTCCCATCTTGAATGCTGCCAAAAGAAACGTCTTAGATAGTTCTGACTTCGCTTCAAGGTAGATTCTGGAGTGGTTTCATTTTTACTTTTTCTAGTCTACTTGTTAATAAAAGCAGAATGAAATTTCATTATATTAAATACATTTGAAAGATTTCAGTTGGACTTTACATATGTTTTAGTTAGCTTACCCTTTTAAGTTAGCCTGTTCTAACTTAAATGCAATTAAAATTTATGTGGAAATGGATGTTTCTTAAATAGGCTTTAATAAATCATGCTGGAAAATAAGAAAACAGCATAAGTTGTAAAACAACAACCTAAAACTCAACTTTTGCTGCATGATTGGTTTTATAATTGAGAACTATGTAAGTAAAGTATAGGTAATTCTTGGCTTTCATGGGAACCTTTAAAATTCTGTTTGGGTTGTTGAATGTTTTATGATGTTTTAATCTTTGGAACAGTTTTCCATACTGATATGTTGACTGTCTAATGCTTTAGTTGTTAATATCAGGAACTGAATTGAGAGTCAAGTAAAAATAGCCTGCCATGTAATGTCAAGATAATCCTGACTTTTGATATTAGAGACATTAGTTTGTTTAAAAATGTTTTTTAATTGATGTTGTAAACAACTTTTCTTTTATATACTAGAACCTAAATTTGATGTTGATTTTGTACTCCCTAACTTATCTGATTTTTTAAGTTTAAAATTGGTGTATTTTGAAGTTTCAGAAATGTAAGCGGATCCATTCATAAGAATACATTTTAAAATTATGAGAAAGAAATTTTATGTACTTTCTGTATGGATTTTGGCTTAGCCTAAAAATATGAACCTATACTGTTACCCACTCTTCACACTTAAGAAGTTTCTCTCTCTAATACATGCTAACTTAGAGTATAAAACCCAAGCCTTGACAGAACCCCGGCCTCTTACTGCCTTTAGAGGTTCTCTTAGCTGCATGAACTTTTCTGGTGTCTGTAACACATTTTCCTTCTTTGACCCTCTGCTTTACTACTATAATTTTCATTACTTCCATAAGTTTTCTGTCCCATAGCCGTCCCTGAAATTTACCGCAAAGGTTAAGTTGAAATATTGCTGACTTAGCAGCTTCTGTGTTTTTTTCCAATAGGAAACTTTTCTGGTATTATTTCCTCTTTGTTTTCCTGGGTTGGTTCCACAGTGACTGATTCTTCCTTGAAATTGTAGCCGGCACTCAGAATTCTATTTCATTCTTACACCATGAAATCTTTAAAGCCTCTGACACTTTCCACTTTAAGATTAAATTATGCATTATTACTTCTTGGAACCTGAATGAACAGTCCTGACACTAGAAAGTGTCTTAAAGTCTTTTGGAAGACTCACCTTTCCTATCTCAAGCAGCTGATTGACTCCCTTCCCCATTTTTCCTAGCTCGAAGACATCCTGTAACTCAGATGGGTGCCTTAAGTCTTTTTCTCAGAGGGTCACGGGGTGGTTGTCACCCCAGGGCCTAGTAGTCCTTCTGAGGTGTAAGCCATCACGCGTTCCCCTATAGTGTCCCACATAGAATGCTGAGGAAGCATTCAAAATTGTGTACTCTTCCTGAAAATAATGCATACTTGTCTAAAAGTATTGTATCTGAATACTTATCATATGATAAAGAAAAAGCCATAGAAAGGCTAGCAAAGACATGTCTAACAGTTACTCCACATACTTGGCTGTCACCCCAGTGGGGAGCCACACCGTATCAAAATCCTCTATGCAGATGTGAAAATGAGGCAGCCAGTGGGAACTGGTAACTCATAGCTGTTTTTGGGGAGGAAGAAAGGAGTGAACATATATTTACAGTTAACCTGTGTTCAGGATTGCCTTCTTGTCATAGAGATAAAGAAGAGTAGACACCATGGATATGATTTTAGAAGGAAGAAGAATGGAAGCAAACGTGACAGGGACACACTATTTTCTGGTAGCTGCGCAAAGAATTACAGACAAAACAGGAAATGTAATGTGCAGGAGGAAAAAGCAGCACGGACGCACACAAGCATTGGCTTCCCACAGAGCCAAGTTATGCAAGTGTTTCAGGTGGTATTGGCCTTGGAAAGGTTCATTGACCAGTCAGAGAACCACATTGCTATATACCTTTGGATGCTTTAGGCCACTTGTTCCTCTTCTCAGTTTCCATTACTCTGGAGACACTGTAGTTTGTAAAGAGCTACAGAAGTCAGTACCTCAAATTCCACAATTCTCAACTTATGAGCGCAGGGCACTTCATTTCTTCATCTGATTATAAGATAGGCCATGCAGATTTAAACCATAGAAAAAGAAAAATTAAATTCTGGTCAGATGTTGTAAATTGGAGAAATAGACTGATCCCCTGCAAAAATTGCAGTCAGATGGGATTAAGAAGAAATAGCAGCAGGAAAGCATCCTGTCTTCCCAGGTTTTTTGGTCAGCACAGTGCAGCTCACTAGAGAACAAGTATAGAGACATTAAGTCTTTTAGGGAAGACTGCTGGGGTCTTTTATAAGAGTTGATTATGTATCATCTTACCTATTTGCTTTTTAATTTAGGATGAATAATCAGAGGCAATATAAAATTTATATAAATGATAACCTTTTGAATTTATTTTACTTTGCAGTGGGGAAGGAGCTGCATTTAGCCTCTCTCATCATCATTTGCCTTCGAGACATTCACGCCCACAAGCCCATTCTTCAACCTCAGGTAATATTTGAAAAAACCTAGTAAAATGTCTTTTAAATAGAATGGTGGAGAATGATCGGGAGTAAAAATTTAAATATCCCATCTTTTTGTTCTGGAAAGTGTTCTTTATATCCTAGGAGGTTGATTGGTTTTCTATGCTTGCTTTTCTTTTCTTAAATCAGTGGTCTCTTAATTCTCCAGTTATACCTACTTATTTTTTAATGCTATGAATGAATCCTCAAATATCTGAAATCTGTTAAATTGCTATGAGTTAAAATTATTTATATGATTTCAATGACTTTTTTTGTATTTGAAGGAGGAATTAGAAGGTCTTCATCTATGTCTTATGTTGATGGCTTCATAGGCACATGGCCTAAAGAGAAAAGGTAACCAAAAAGGATTATTTTTAGTATGTTCACATTATCAAGAAATGCTAATTCGTATTCTCTGTCATCAGCCAAATTACAATAGACGTTTATTCAGTACCTACATTTAATATGGGCAGAGTAGGTGGATAATAGAAAGATCAAAGGGGCCAAATTTGAACAGTAAAAACTTGAGTGCCCTAACTGATGGCAATATGATTATGGGAGAAGAAAGTAAATTTCAAGTAGTTATTATTCAGTCATATAAAATCACTTTCTGGAATTATTTAAAGATTTTTTTTCTTTAAATTTTTTTTTTTTTAGATCATCAGTGCATGGAGTTTCATTTGATATTTCTTTTGATAAAGAGAATAGTGTACCAAGATCTACTCCAAACCAAGGAATCACTCGTTCTGTTAGTAATGAAGGCCTTGCTTTGAACAACAACCGTGTGTCTAAGCACATTAGGAAAAATTTGTCCTTCAAACCAGTGAATGGAGAAGAGGAAACAGAAAGCATTGAAGAAGAACTCGATATTGACCCTCACAGTGACATCAAATCTTATGTTCCCCTTAATAGAAATGCTCTAAATTCTAATGAGAATATTCATTACAAGCTTCCAAATGGAGCTTTACAAAACAGAATACTGCTAGATGAGTTTGGCAATCAGATTGAGACACCAAGCATTGAAGAAGCATTGCAGATAATTCATGATACTGAAAATTCTCCCCATACACCACAGCCAGACCAAATTGCTAATGGCTTCTTTCTTCACAGCCAGGAAATGAGTATCCTGAATTCAAATATCAAGCTAAATCAATCTAGTCCTGATAACATAATGGATACAAAAGGTGCCTTGAGTCCCATAACTGACAATACTGAAGTAGACACTGGAATTCATGTTCCTTCAGAAGATATACCAGAAACTATGGATGAAGATTCTTCTCTGAGAGATTATACTGTAAGTTTAGATTCTGACATGGACGATGCTTCTAAATTCCTTCAGGATTATGATATGAGAACTAGCAATACCAGAGAAGCTTTGAGCCCTTGTCCTAGTACTGTGAGTACCAAGTCTCAGCCAGGTAGCAGTGCCTCCTCTAGCTCTGGGGTTAAAATGACCAGCTTTGCTGAGCAGAAATTCAGGAAACTGAATCATACGGATGGGAAAAGTAGTGGAAGCAGTTCACAGAAAACTACACCAGAGGGCTCTGAACTTAATATTCCTCATGTGGTTGCTTGGGCACAAATTCCAGAAGAAACAGGCCTTCCCCATGGACGGGATACTACCCAGCTATTAGCTTCTGAAATGGTGCATCTTCGGATGAAACTAGAAGAAAAGAGACGTGCCATAGAAGCCCAGAAGAAGAAAATGGAAGCTGCTTTTACTAAACAGAGGCAGAAAATGGGAAGGACAGCATTTCTGACTGTAGTAAAAAAGAAAGGGGATGGGATTTCCCCTCTTCGAGAGGAAGCAGCTGGTGCAGAAGATGAGAAAGTCTATACTGATCGGGCAAAAGAAAAAGAGTCACAGAAAGCTAACGGACAGAGGAGCAAGTCTCTAGCGGATATAAAAGAAAGCATGGAGAATCCTCAGGCCAAATGGCTCAAGTCTCCAACCACCCCTGTTGACCCCGAGAAGCAGTGGAACCTGGCAAGCCCCACAGAAGAAACTTTAAATGAAGGCGAGATTTTAGAATACACCAAGTCTATTGAAAAGTTAAATTCATCTCTGCATTTTCTGCAACAAGAAATGCAGCGCTTGTCACTTCAGCAAGAGATGCTCATGCAGATGAGAGAGCAGCAGTCTTGGGTGATTTCACCTCCCCAACCTTCTCCACAGAAGCAGGTTAGAGATTTTAAACCTTCTAGGCAGGCAGGCCCATCATCAACCGTTGCACCGTTCTCATCAGACTCCCCTCGGCCTACTCACCCATCTCCACAGTCTTCTAACAGGAAAAGTACGTCTTTCTCAGTTAAGAATCAAAGGACTCCGAGGCCAAATGAATTAAAAATAACACCTTTGAATAGAACATTGACGCCCCCTCGGTCTGTGGATAGTCTTCCGAGGTTAAGGAGGTTCTCGCCCAGTCAAGTTCCCATTCAGACGAGGTCATTTGTATGTTTTGGGGATGATGGAGAACCTCAGTTAAAGGAACCCAAACCTAAGGAGGAAGTGAAAAAGGAGGAATTGGAGCCCAAAGAGGCTTTGGGGCAGCATGTACACAATCCAGAAGAAAAGGAGCCCAAACCTCTAGAGTCAACAGTTTCTGAAGTCCTGTCACAGCCTATCACAGAGACTGTGTGCCTGACACCAAACGAGGACCAATTAAGTCAGCCCACAGAACCTCCTCCGAAACTTGTTTTCCCACCTGCTGCTCCTAAAAATGTTAACCTGATTGAAGTTTCCCTCTCAGATTTGAAACCTCCTGAAAAGGCTGATGTATCTGTTGAAAAAGATGATGGAGAAAGTGATAAAGAACTGTTAGATGATGACCAGAAAGTGTGCTGTGGATTCTTTTTTAAGGTAACACTTTTGACCATTCAGTGTTGGAAATCTGTAGCTTATTCTAGTCTTCAGAGTCATAGGCATCTTCGTTAGGTGGGTTTGTCTTTCTTAGTTGACAGCTCCTTTTAGTAGCCGTCCCTTTTGTTACAAGTCGAGTCCTGAAGTAGACTTGGCGCACCCTTGCTGGCTATCCTTTCCTTACATTCCAGTGCACTGTGTTCCAGAACAGACACCTTTCTTTCTTTTTTTTTTTTTTAAGACTTATTTACTTATGCATACAGACCTGGGGTGCAGGCCAGAGGTGTGGTGAGTGGGAGGATTCACCAGAGACACAGTAGGGACCAGAACAGGCAGATTGACAAAGTACACTGCTGAGGGGAGCAGTGGGCAGGTCAGGGGTCAGGAGAGGTCTGCTGTGCCATGTGGGTCACCTCCGGGGTAAGGGATCGAACTTGTGCTGCAGTGGTTTCGGAGAGCTTCTTAACACAGTGCTTTAACCCATTGCGCCACCAAGAGAGCCCCAGAACAGACTCCTTTCACTGCAGTCAGGTGCGTAGACTAAAATAGCTGCTTTCTCTGCCTTGCTCACCTTTGTAAACGCTGACACTGCATGTAAATATATTTTAGGGTTTTTTTTTTTTCAACCTTAAACATGTGTTTTGTTTCTTAAAAATCTTAACAATTGACCAGACAGAATCTTACTACATGAAACATTTAACCTACCTAGTTCGAATAGTGGTCACTGAACTAGCTCCTTGAGGAGCACCGGATGAAAGTCTAGTGTATCTCTGCTGATCAAGCCCTGGACAGAACATATTTAAACGACACTGGTAACTGAGTAGTACAAATACTGAACAATTCATCACCAATTGATGGTGAAGAGCTCAACATTTATATAGATGTTAACATCTATGTGATAAGAAAAAAAATATATTTTTGAAATTGGATCTAATTTTTATCATTTTTTATCTTTATATTTTTCTGTATTTTCTAAATTACCTATAAGGAAGAATTTATATATAAATGAAGAATATATATAAAGGATTATGTGTGTGTGTGTGTGTGTGTATAGTTAGAAACATATATGTGTTATTTTTATTTCTTTTTTTAATTAAAGGACTAAAGTGGATCATATCTGATCCTGTATAGCTCCATTTTGGAATATAGATAGAGAAAGCTGACACTAAACAGCAGTTTCTAATTTGAGATTTTAAATCAAAACACAGAGCATTCTCTAGGAATAAGAACCCAAGAAGTGATTGGAATGATCACAAAACTGCTAGTTTTTCTTCTGATCATTTAATGTTGGAAATTAGTAACTTATTTTAAAGTTGATCTCAGGGTGACAGCCTTTAAGGCTCTTTTTAATATTCAGAAACATGAATGGGAGTGATGTTTTATCTCTTAGCCAAGTTAAAACTACCATTTTTTAAAACTATGCTACTGTAGACACTTAGACAGCTTACTGTCTAATTTCAGAGACCTTTGCCACCTCTCTGTTCCTTAGAGAAAAAAGAACATTGGGTGAGGGGGGTGGCCTCTAGTGTAAAGTAGTTCACCTGTACCTCTGTGCCCACCTCAGACTGCCCCTTCTGTTCCATTTCCATGTCTTCACTGCCCTGATCCTCATCCCTTGGACTATGTTGATGGCTTCCTGACTGGACCTCCTGCCATTGACCATTTCACTCCCCACACCGCTGCTACTCGAGATGACTGTTAGAAGAATTTAAGTTCCATTGAGCCTCCTCTAGTCAGAATTCTTATGTTGCCTATTGACTGTCGTTCACTGTCTTCACATAATATTCAGACTCTCACAGCTATTTGCCCATACTATCCCCTATAACGTCTCTTTTAATCTCTTAATTTTCAGCTTCATTTGTTTGCTGAAGTCTTTTATATTTCTTAAGTAAATGTTAAAGGTTTCTCTTTTGTCTCCTCTTTTGTCGCCCTCCTGGTAGTAACTGTGACCCAGAGTTTTGTTCGAGTTACAGGTTTTTTTTAAGACTCATACCTCTTAGAGGTATTTTATCTTTTTTTAATCTCCAGAGCATAGTAAAGTGCCTGGCAAGTTGCAAAGTATATTTATTTTGTTAGAGACATATAAACACTTTCACTGATTTTTGAAAGGTACCTCCTGACGTTCTCCATCACCATTAATTTGCCCTGAGTCCTTATGCAAAGCTCCTTGTGTGCACCTCTTCACTGGCCTCTTCACTCCTTACAAAAGGTGCCGTAGGCCCCTCCCTGGTGGCACAATGGGTTAAAGCACAACACTAAGAAGCTAAAGCCACTTCAGCATGAGCTCGATCCCCACCCTGGAGGTGACCCACATGGTGCGGCAGATCTCTCCTGGCCCAGCCGCTACTCCCCTCAGCATTGTACTTCATGAGTCGGGCTGTTCTGCTCCCTACTCGGTCTCTGGTGAATTCTTTCACTGCTCCTGCACCTCTGGCCTGTCCCCCAGTTCTGCGTGCATTAATAAAATAAATCTAAAAAAAAAAAAAGTGCCATAATGGAATCTGCCTATTATTCTTCATGCTCTAGTGTCTGTGATGCCTCTACTGTGAGGTGAGTGTATGAGACCCTCAGGAGACGCTCATCATATAGATCAGTGAGCTGCTTCACAGCTTGTTCCTGTCCTGAATTCTGAAATATTTTCAAATCCCTCTGAGAATTGTCCTAAGTATATAAGTAGAAACTGAGGCAAGTTCACAAGGCCTACAGGTCAGAAACTAGCTCTCAAAATGAAAGAACTTTATATAATCATGCCCATCTTTTATTCAGAGGAAAAATCTTCAGAATAGCTCAGAACCCTTTAAGCAAATTGTCAGAACCTCAGCTTAAAATAGTAGCGACAGTAGTTTCATTTTTGCGGCATAACTTTAGGTAGCTAATTTTTGAGGATTTTATCTGTTTTCTTGTTTGTGTCTGTTATGAATACAGTGTAAGTACAATCTTTAAAATTAGGGTAAATTGAAAGCTCTCTGGTGGTCTACGGATTAAGTCTCAATGCTAATTGAGGGTCTGATACACCAACAGCATCAGGCATCACAGACACTAAAGCGCAGATGGCCTGAGTTCAGTCCCTGGCCATGAAGCTGACCCACATATGACAAAACAGAGCGCTCCTTTTTCACCAGCTGCTCCCCTTAGCAGTATACTTCATTAGATCCACCTGTTCTGCTCCCCACTTTGTCTCTGGTGAATCCTCTCATCCCCTATACCTTTGGCCTGTACCCCAGTTCTACATAGAAATAAAACCTTTTTAAAAAATAGGGTAAACTTTCCTCTTAGTTATATATGAGGGCTTCCCCCCAAACACCTCCCCACCAAGTTCTTTGCTAACTTCTTGGGTTTTGAAAACATGTAATTAAGTGTCCTTTGTCAGTTGATGGAAGAATTTAACTCATTGCTTCCTTATTTATGTATTTTTTCATTTTAAAGAGACATCTGTATTAGGAAAAGGAGAAAGAAAAAGAGAGGGGCCTGCATAGACACAGGCGGGCGGGAGAGCTGCCGCTGCTGATTAGCAAGAGGAACAGTTCTATGAACAGGCAGGAAGGTTTTCATAGTCACAGTGGGTGAGAGCTGCCTCTCCTCCATGATTTCTGGAACATGCCCATACATGTGTATGGGCAGGGTCAGAATAACATTGAATGTGTAGTTCAGATTTGCACTTATGAGAGTCACCGCCGAATACGACCACAACAATTGGGAATGAGAATATGGCACTGAACCATTTACCTTTTTCATGACCTTCATTCTCAGGATGACCAAAAAGCAGAAAACGATATGGCAATGAAACGGGCAGCTTTGTTGGAGAAAAGACTAAGAAGGGAAAAAGAGACTCAGCTCCGGAAGCAACAGCTGGAAGCAGAAATGGAGCATAAGAAAGAAGAGACAAGGTAATGTAAATTGGTGTGTCAATTCTAAATCTGAGCATTAGTGGTTAATTTATTTTCCTAAAGTATTATTTGATTGTATATTTATCTGAAGTTTAAGACATTTCTAAGTAAAGTTCTCCTGAAACATTAATTTATGTCACTGAATTTTTTGTTTTTATTAAGGTTGTGTTGTGTTCTAACATTATGTCTCAGGTGTACACCACAAAGACTCAGTGCGTTCACACTGTTACATGGAGGTCACTGCCAGATGTCACTGGCTTCACCCATGTAACTGTTTCTATTTGCTTTTTGTAGTTCATTGTTTATGTCATAATCCCCAACTTGTATATCCAGCTAGACTTGGAAAGCGATACGGAAAATAAGGTACCCAAAGAACTATAGGCAGAGCGAGCATGAAGATGTAAGCAGTTTAGTGCAGATGGTGTAAATGGGTGCTAAGCTAAGGAGGAACAGCCTGGCGGTTAAGATAAAGTACAAGGCAACTGTATTAGATTTGTCCACCATTTAGAAATGGTGGTCTTCTTGCTGGTCTTGCCATCTCTGGATCCCAAGCCCTCTCTCGCGCACGATAGCCAGGCCCCCTTGCCCTGGCCCGACACCACAGGCTTGCTGTGTGCCAGTCTTGGCAGTGCAGGTGTTTGTGTTGGGCCCAGTGTTGCCACTGACAAGCTGTCAGAACCTGTATGCTTGAGAGTAAAGTTGTCATCAATAAGTCTTCCCCTATAGATACAGACTTGCCAGTGACGTTATGGTGGTACATCCATTTTTCAAAAGTGTGTGTTTTGTGTCTGTGTATGCACATCCATGTATACATGTGTGTTTAATGACCTACATTAGTTCAAGTACATTTTAAATGAGCCATTTCCCCCTGGGTGCTGAAATATAATAATTCTTCCATCTTGCACCAAATACATACATTCCAGCGTCTCTTTAACTGGGTATGCAGAATAAGAATTAACCATTGGGTTTCCTAGGCGTAAAACTGAGGAAGAACGTCAAAAGAAAGAAGATGAGAGAGCACGCAGAGAATTTATCAGGCAAGAGTACATGAGGCGAAAGCAGCTGAAACTAATGGAAGACATGGACACAGTCATCAAACCTCGCCCTCAAGCAGCAAAACAAAAAAAACAGCGCCCAAAATCTATTCATAGAGATCATATTGAATCTCCCAAAACTCCAATAAAAGGTCCTCCAGGTAACACAGCTCATCATGAAGTCTGTTCATAAATAAACACCAGCCTGGTTTGTTAAGACTAACTTGATTGTGCTTTGGCTGCTAAATTGGATACAACCTTGGAGATCTGTGCATGCTCCTCATTTGGAAAACCAAAAGGAGTAAATGAGTGTTTTTACCACTTAGTGTCCATGTGTGCGTGCATATGTTCAAGTGGAACAAATAACTGCTGAAAAAAAATCCAGTTTATATACTAACCTGTTGTGAAACTCTGCCCTCAGATATAATCTTTCAGGACTATTAACTACCTTTCCAGATTCGTAAATTTAAGAATAAATGTTATATGCATGAAATATGTAAGAATGATTTTAGTATAAGGTATCCAAGATTGGGTTCATGAATTCCTCCTTTAAGAAAGAGTCAAAAATCCAAATTTATTTCGGTAGCTGATCTAGGGTGCATCTTTTTTATCTGAATTCAACATGGATAGTCTTTAAAAAAAAAAAATTAAAACTGAATTCACAAGGTGAGTTCCTGTTGACTGAAAATGAATAAACTAACACTGTACCCAGAAATTTGATATTCCTAAACACAGTATTTTTCACCATTTTATTTTCTTTATGACTTTTTGTTATGATGTCTCATTTCCTTATTATCATGTCTCATCTTGCCACTTTACTTTTAGAGTAAATCCTGACAACTATTTGTTTTATCGGTTTCTTTACAGACAGTTCCTCACTAATTTTCAGTAAGTCCATATATGCATGCAGACATAGCATGTGTTTAGGTTAAGAATAAAGAGAATGGAACTATGGAGACAATTTCCAAATGCTGGTGTTATCTCATGAACAGACTCCTTTCTGCTTTCTCTGTTTCAATTTATAATTTTGTCTTTCTTCAGGATCACGCATTTATCGTGTTTTTTCAGTCTCTAGCCTTTCTCTGGCGTCGCTGACCACGGGGGATAATGAGAGTGTGCATTCGGGCAAGCGGACACCACGGTGAGTCTCGCCGGGGGCGTTTCTCGTAACAGGCACGTGTTCTGTGCAATTATTTTATAGTGAGTGAATCACAGTCAAATGTTCGTACATTTTCTGGGCTAGTACAACTTGGGTTTCTGTTAAAAGAACTGATATAAAAAAGGCCTAGTCATGCTCACTGTTTTTTATCTTTTAGAACTTAGGAATTGCTGGCTTTGGTAAGATCAGTAGTTGCTAATCGGGCTGTGACTGCGCTCTCCTCATTGGCGTGGTCACACAGGCCGCCTGTGAGCCTGCACCAGGGAAACAGCAGACACGTCAGCATCTCACTGCCTTCTCCTGTAGGACCGCATTTTGCAAAAGGAGGTTTCTAGTGACAGCGCTCTGAGTTCTGGTCTTGATGTTACTGTCCTGTTGTGTTCCTTGCCAGTTTTCATGTGGGAAAACACTGCTTCGTTTGACAAGCATTTAGGAAGTTCTGAAAGGTTCTCAGCATGTGACACAGAACTATTTTACTTGCTCTTTAGATCAGAGTCTGTAGAAGGCTTCTTATCTCCAAGTCGCTGTGGTAGTCGAAATGGGGAAAAAGACTGGGAAAATGCATCAACCACATCTTCAGTGGCTTCTGGAACAGAATACACAGGTTAGTGCTTACATGCTTTAGTAAACGTCTTAATTTAGTGCATTAATAAGGGTGGCCTGAAGGAGAGCTCGCAGGAGACTGGGCAGAACCAGTGAACACAGTTGCCACGTCCAGGCAGGTCATTTAGTGATAAATGCCACGTGGGGAGGGGTAGAACCTTTCTCAGGTGAATTGAGACACGTTTCTAGAAATGATCCAGGCCACTTACACCCCATCCTCCTCCGGCACATCATCCTCCTCTTAAGGTCGCCTGCCATTTCTGTGTTGCAGCTTATGTCTACAGCACCTAGGTCCTGATGACTGTGAAGGGGCTAGACCCCACAAAGCTCTCTTTATAACATTGGGGTTTCAGGCAGCTAGAAGTGTGTATCTTTAAAAAGTGCTGAGAGACTCCAAGAGCTGAGAACAGGAGGAGGGCATCGAGTCACGCGTGTCCCCGGCAGGTGCTCTGCTAGCCTGTGCAGCTATAGTATGCTGAAGAACAGAATGGAGAGAGCACTTCCAGAGGGCTAGTGGGCGGGAAGGTGAGGGCGGACATGCACCAGGGAAAGGCGCAGGAGAAGAGCAAGGCCTGGGCACACTGGCGCTGCCCCACTGGCATGGCCTGTGGGGGCAGAAGCCCTCAAAAGGCCTGTGGGGACTAGAACGTGCTGTTTCCCGGGTTCCTCACCCTGACACCCCTCTTTCAGTTCTGTGACTTTTCAGTACAGAGTCATGTAGGCAGCCTGAGCCCTCAAGGCCTGGGTTTGGACAGTATTTCCTTGCTGTTCTCTCTGCTTCTCCATATTCATTCAGTTTAACACCACATCTGCCAGGCACTTTCCTAAACAGAGTGTCAGAGATACACAGGATCAACTGCTACCAGCTCCTGAACTGATGATTACAGTTCCAAGAGTGATACAAGGTGTAGAGGCGTGGGTAGCTTAAACTAAGCTGTGGGAAGAGTAATTTATACTGAAGGGATAAATAGGTAAATGCTACAAACCAGGGCTGCTTTTTTTTTATTTCTTTCCCAAACAACTAGTTACTCAGAACACTAATTAGAGGGCAAAGCATAATCCCTGCCTTCTACCAGAGTTTAGTTTAGTTAGTTAGTATGCATAGGTCATACTGTGAGCTACCATTTGTGAGGAGGAATGTTCCAGGAAAATGGCTCCTGTGCTTTGCCAAGCAAGCAGCACCACTGGTGAGAAAATGCTAAACAAAGGCCCACAGAAATATAGAAGAAAAGGTGGGACTATTTCTTTCCTTTTAAAGGCTTAACTCATGGACTCAGTCTGCTTGAAGCCCACGAGTCACCTTACCAAACATGAGAAAAAAGGGAAGCAGTGTGACAGTCACAGAGATACCTCATTCCAGGTGGCCATAGCAGCGTCCTCAATGTGCAGCTTCTGCACAATGAGCAAAACTGTCAGTAAGACAGAAAGACACCCTTCGGAATGGGAAAAAATATTGACACACCCTAATCTGATAGAAGGTGATAGCCCAGGTGTATAAGAACTCATGCAAGTCAACAGATAAAACAACCCAATCAAAGGAAGACATACAGATGGCCAGCAGGTGCATGGGAAAATGTCCATCATCACTTAACAGGGAAATGCAAACTGAACACCATCTTGCACCTGTGAGAATGGGCTATAGAAAGACCAGAAAAGACAAGTGTTGGCAAGGATGTGGAGAAAAAGGGGGTCCTCTCACACTGTTGATGGGAATGTAGGAAAAACTATGGAGATTTCTCAGAATATTATAAATAGATCTACTGGCAATCTCATTCCTATGTATCTACACAAGGAACGCAAAAATGCTAATTTGAAAGGATAGTTGCTTACTGTAGTGCTGTTGACAACAGCCAAGTCATGAAAGCAACCCAGGTGCCTGAGGACAGAGGAAAGGGTGAGAGAAAAAGTGAAGAGGACCAGAGGGTCAGGTGCCAGTGCTGTATGTTGACAGTGGAGGAATAAAGCAAAGGGTCAGGCGAAACAAAACCAATACAAACCCTGGAAACCTGGCTGCACTTGAGGCCATGAGATGGCGAGTGGGAGAGGGAAGATGGAGCGAGGGAGCTCAGTGGGCCTTCATCTGAGGGGGCTGGCCGGGCCTCTGAATCACATCCCGCGCTGTAAGCCAGTGTCACCACAGTTGAGATTTTCTTTTCAAATAATAAAAATAATGAACAGCTATATACCAGAGACATTTTATGGGGGTGGAGTGGGGAATGGGATCAAAAACAGTGGGGGGAGGGGAATGCACTGGACTGATGGCACAAGGGTGATTTGGTGATGGGAGGCCCATGGGGATTACAACTGAGACGGAAAAAGGCACAAAATGATGTAAAAATAAACTATTATATTTTTAAGAAGTAAATAAATAATTTTAAAAGTTTTTAATGTTTTCTTTTCATTTTTAAATGTGTTCATCACCAAAAACAAAAGCAAGCAAAAAAAATATGTGTGTGTGTATATGTGTATGTATATATATATATATATTCCGGTGGGGTGCAGCCAGTCAGACCTGCAAACCCAGAATTTGGCTTTTTGTTACACATAGTAGAACATCCTTTAAACACAGTATTGCTGACTCAGTAACGTTTTTATTGTTAAATTCTTACCATAGGACCAAAGCTCTACAAAGAACCCAGTGCAAAATCCAATAAGCACATAATACAAAATGCTCTAGCCCACTGTTGTTTGGCTGGAAAAGTAAATGAAGGTCAGAAGAAAAAAATACTAGAGGTAAGCATGTTAGCATGAAGATTTACTTTGCAATATTCTGAAATGATGGGAGTCTTCTCTATAAACTCAAGAGGAAGATCATAGGCTTTCAAAATTTAAGTAGCATGGAAATATCTTGTAACTGTGGTTTAATTATTAGCTTGAATGCAGGTTTAATTAGAGATTAGGCATTGACTTTGATGATAGAATGAAATTGTAAAGTTATCTTTTTGCGGTGGAGTGGGGAATGGGACCAAAAATGGGGGGGGGAAGGGAGGGAAATGCACGGGACTATGGTGGTGGCACAGGGGTGATTTGGTGATGGGAAACCCATGGGGATTACAATTGAGATGAAAAAAAAATGTGAAAAATGATGTAAAAATAAACTTTTTAATAAAAAAAAAAAAAAGTAAAAAAAAAAAAAAGTTATCTTTTTGCCTAGATTCACCCGTTCATGTTTCATTAATGTAGGAAATGTGATTTTCCATTTTTTAAATGAAGCTGTATTATCAAGGAGATAATCAGTGCTTCATTGTGATACAGATAGTTTGATTAAGAGTAAAATGAGAGATTGTTCATCTCCAAGTTCCTGGGAGGATTACAGTAGCACCAGGGCTGAGAGCCCCATGGAGGAGAGAGCTGTGCTCAGCTTATATGAGAGACAGTTTATCTTCTTTTGACTCAGTTTATATTTTAAACTAAATGTCAGAATTGTGGGCCAAGAACTGGAACACAAGCATATAAGATTTATGCAGTGAAAGGGTTTTTGTAATTTTTTTTTTCTTTCTTTTAAAGGAAATGGAAAAGTCGGATGCCAACAACTTCTTAATCTTGTTCCGGGATTCAGGCTGCCAGTTCAGATCTTTGTATACTTATTGCCCAGAGACTGAAGAAATTAATAAACTGACTGGGATAGGCCCAAAATCGATCACTAAAAAAATGATTGAGGGACTTTATAAATATAATTCTGACAGGAAACAGTTTAGTCACATACCTGCTAAAACTTTATCTGCCAGTGTTGATGCAATTACCATCCATAGCCATTTATGGCAGACCAAGAGACCCGTAACACCAAAAAAACTCTTACCCACTAAAGCATAGGAGTTGGGAAATACTCACTTCAGAACATTCATGGTAAATTTGCACTTCATCTTTCCTGCCTATAGAAAATCTTTCTATTGCCAACAAGACTTTTATTAATTAAAACTGGACATTAATCTCTGTTGTCATGAACAACTGGAATGTAAACCACAGTATTTTGGAGTGCAGAAGATTCCCACTTAGGTGTAAGTCCAAGAGATGAAGGAAGTATTTCAAATCACCAGTGGAGATTTGTGTCATTAGGTTCACCTGCTTGATGCTAGCTACGCTGAAGCACTGAATTCTCGTGGACACTAGTTGGATTTATGGTTGAATTATGGCTAAGACTACAGATTATGTGTTTTTATTTGTTGCTTTTTTTTTTTTTTTTTACTTTAATGTATTTGCTTGTCTTCAATGTTTTATTTGGCTGTTTTTCTCCCCTTGGGGTTTGTTCTAAGATACCTTTGTACTTTGTTTCATGTGGCGATATCATGAGTGTAGGAAATACACCGTCCGAGGTAAGTCGCACCTTTCTTAGAAGGCTAAGAGAAACACTAGTGTTTAGTTTTACAATAACCCTCATGTTTTAATGGTGTTAGAACATTTGCAAGAATTGTTCTAAGTATTTACAATTCTGTATTTATTATTCACTTAAGTATTAACCTTTCTCCATCAAAATAAGAGGAGATGTGGTAAAGAGCTGCTAGTAGCTTCACTTTAAACCACATGAGCTTAACCAAGAATATGTTCTGAGAAGTTGCTGATTAAATCAGTGCTGTTTCTATGCCACTTCTGGACAACTCTGAATTATCTAGATTATTGTTTTAACAAAAAAGGCTTTCTATCTCTTTTAAAAGTAAGTCACTTTACAAGCTGGCATAAGTGAATGACACTTTGAGAGTAGTCTTGCAGTCTGATGATGTGAGACTTGCTGCCAAGTTCTCAAGAGGTCTTTACAGTATATTTATAACTGATATAAAAATTATATTTAGAATTTTTAAACATGTACAAAGGGCTACATTTTAATTTTAAAATAGCTTCACATTATTTTACTTATATTGAGTTATTTTTTCCTTTTTTATCCTTTCCAAGTGCAACAACTTAGAGTTTCAAGTGCACACTTGAAATCCCCTCTACATGATCTTTGTTCCATTAACAGTGTATACCAGAGGGAGGGTTAGCTGGGGAAAAACTTCATTCTCAGGAAAAGACTTGAATGATTATGTGACCCTGTATGTTTCAGTGTTGTGACAACTGTGTAAACTTAAGGGGAAAGACAGTGGTGTAACATAAATGAGATGTGTGGTTCGTTTTCTTTCATGGGAAGTAGAGACTAAGATATATACATTTCTCTAAGTGAGCTGTTTAGAGGAATAACTGATAGCCCATATGATGTATTACTTATTTTAAAGAAGGAGTAGGAATGAGATGTCCCTGAACTGTACTTTTCTATTTTAAGACCCATTAGGCATCAGTGCATCCGGGTTATCAACATTTTCTCAAATGCTGTCAATATTTTACTATAATTTATGTTCTTATATTTATGTATATTTGTTAAAACTGTAAAAAAAAAAATTTCACAGATTTTTTTCCAATACCTGTGCAAGATATATGTGTAGCTCAAAACTATTTGTGACCTACTGTTTGCATGTAAGAGACCAGAATATGTAACGCTCATATTTTAAGTGTATACATACTGTGTATATAATATATGAATATTAAAAATGGGAATTGCACATTTTACCTTTCAGACAAGTTTCTATCACAGAAGGAAATGAATGCCAACTACATTTAGATTGACTAAAAATAGTAAGTGAATAATCAAAGCGTGGTCAAAAGTTATTACTAAATTGGTTCTTTTCAAATTTCCCTTATCTAAGCAATTTTCTTTATGATATTGTCCATGAAGTTTTCAAAAATGGGATGTAAGACAGTAGAGGAATTATTTCACATAGTATTCTTAAATTTATGTGCAGTGTCCATAATGTCTAAAGGTAGAATGTTAACATTGCCACAGAAGTTCATTGCACTCAGTATAATATTTTACTCTACTAATACAAAAGGAAAATGGATATATTTCTTTAAGTCTGCAGATTTTTTAAAATTACAGTATGGCTTTTTTTTTTTTTAATTATGTCTTAATTACACAAATGAAAATTACGCTGTCTCATGAAGACTGGAGACTTTCAACCTTACTGAAACACTTCGGTGCTTTCATGTTCTGAGGTCAAATTATTATGGCAGTGACTCAGTTACGTTGCCAACCACTTCTCACGTATAACAGTGCAGCCTGGCAAATTCTGCTCTTTGACAAGGCTTTGGAAAGTGTTTAATTCCTCTCGGTTTTCAATTTTTTTTTTTTTTTTTTTTTTAGAATAACTGTTACAGTTTTTATTTGGCTGTTTAAAGCCAAATTCAACTTTTTAATTATGGTTTGATGGACACTTTGGGGCAATGTATAGTGTATGGTGTGCTTACCTGTCCACTCTAGAGCATTGCTTACAGGATTTTTTTTAAGATGCTGTGCTGTAAAATATTGTCATTAGCTATTTCCTGGTACAGTGTAGTTTTTCCCCTTTTATTTGAATAAAAGCATGGCACCAACTGACTCCTTTCTTGTTTCTTGAGTAAAATGTGGGGCTTTGTAATATTATTGAACTTGGCCAAGATCATCAGAGTTTCCTATCTCTTAACCTATGTTTAACAATTTGAATATTCTTGAGACAACTTTTGATATTATTTGGCATTGTTTGGCTACTAGCTTCAGGTGCTGAAAGGTCTCTATGCTGAATGCTATCTGCATAGTGGTGTACAAATGTTTGCCCATCTTACATTAATTTTGTCCCTATCTTCTTCTGGTGAATTAATGTATCAGAATGAGCACACTATACTTTAGGAACTGGATGGCTAATGAATACACTAATCCACAGTAGCCCTGGGGTGCCAGGACCTGACCCTTTGATTTTATCAAGTCTGCCATTCAGACCAGAACAATGCAGGAAGATTTAAAAACAAAACAACCCACTGATGGAAAACTGAGAACTTGTAGCTCAAGTGGATTTCATTCTTTTGCCTAATACTGTAACTGGCATCCATACAAGGACAGTTAAAATCAGGCCCATTCTCTTGATCATCTAGATTGACAAAGGTAGAAGAAGGGAGAGATCACTGAGGTGGAGAAAGTAAACTTAACCTGCGAACAGGCTGATCAAATGAATGGAGGTACAAGGGACCAGGGCACAGGATGAGATCTTTTCCATCCAGGGACTCACTGGGCTCTCGGTGCTTCCCGGTGAGTTCCCTGTAGTGAACTTGTGCCGCTCGTCAGCCTCAAAGCATTTCTGCCATAAAAGACGGGGTAACTGGTTGGTAGTCTGGTTTTAGCTGGTGCAGCAATCCTATCTTTATGTAAATCTCTTACCCTCCTTTAGGTCCATACAGTGATATCGTGGTCTAGAGGTGGCAGTCTTGAATAGTGCCACTACAGCTTAATAACATGGAAGGATAACATTTACTGGAAGTGTGAAATAAGAGTGTAGAGACACACTTCATACTACTCTAGAAGATGGTATTATAGCAGTTTGCAAATCAAAACCCACACCAAGTAAACGGAAGAGGTGCCACTTACAGCAACCCATAAGCATTCACTATCAAATTTTTAGCAAACTGAAAAATAATAGCTTGTTCTAATGCCATCTTTACCAAGTTTATCACACAGTATTAGAAGTTGGAAGGAAAAGAAGAGCCAATCTCCTATTCCCCAAGAAGAAATAGGTGATTCCTGATGAGTATGTTTCTTGATAGTGGTGGAAAGTTTTTTTTTTGTTTGTTTGTTTTTTTAAAGATTTATTTACTTATTCATACAGAACTGGGATACAGGCCAGAGATGCGGAGGGTGAGAGGATTCACCAGAGACAGAGTGGGGAGCAGAACAGGCAGATCGATGAAGTACACTGCTGAGGGGAGCAGTGGGCGGGTCAGGAGAGGTCTGCCACGCCATGTGGTCACCTCCGGGGCAGGCGGGGATCGAACTCATGCGGAAGTGGCTTTGACTTCTTAGTGCTGTGCTTTAACCCGCTGCGCCACCAGGGAGGGCCCGTGGTGGAAAGTTTTACTATTTAATTGTAGAGAACAGTTTCTGGCATAAACAATTTGGTTAAAGAAAAGGATGGCAGGTGTGCTGGAACATTTAATTGTGACCCAGGAGTGTACTGCCAGCTTACACAGTAAGAAATAGCAGCATCCCTCATCTGTTTCTCTTCTAGAGAAATCTGAAGAGAGATCAGTTTTTTTACACTGTAAGGAATGGACACCTAGCATTAGCTCTTAAGTCCTTAATGATCAATTTTGAGAAAGAAAGTATGGTTACTTTCCCTAGGAAACACCTAAATAAACTATAACCAGCCATTGGAGCAAAAAAAAAAAAAAAACACTGACTGCAAAACCTTTCATAATGGACAAAATTCGCTCTACCAAGCAGATGCTGAGTGGGGTGTGAAAACTGAAGCCCCACAGCATTCACCCAGCTGCCAGTCACTGAGGGCATCATCAAGCTTGCAGTGACTGGTTTGCACGATTTCTTGTGAAACACTGCACTGAGTGGGAAAGCGGGAGGCCTTGATAGCGTCTTATTGAACCCTATTGCTTACGTTCCTGTAGGACTTCGGAACATCTCTTGACAGACAGGACAGTGGCAGGAGCCGCATAGAGGCTTTCACAGCGTAGTACTAACACCTTCGCATTTGGAAGTGGACCCTCTCCAGGGAGAAAGTGTAAGCAAAGAGGAAGCCATCTGATGCCAAAAGTACGGAGAGAAATGGAGAGTGCCAAGAAGAAAAAGACTTAGAAGCACCTAGATACAATCTGCAAAGTAAACTCAGTCGTTGGTGTATTGTCATGAACCTACAACCTTTTAAAGGTATTAAAAAGCTTTATGTCCTCACTTCTGTCAAGTGTTGCTTTGAAATTTTGTTGTGTTTGCTTTGAAAAGTTTCATTATGACCTGTTAAATTAATGTTCCTCTTTCAAGTCTCATGATTTTATGTGTTGAGAATACTGTGGCAGATAATGGTGACTCTCCCTGACGTGCACTCACTGCTGAGGAGGATACAGCTAAGCTGTCAAAACAGCTGAGAAGGCTTCCCTGGTGGTACAAGGGGTGAAAGTGCAGACCTGTCATGCTCTCCGCAGCCACTGCAGCCTGACTTGGATCCCCAGCCAGGGAGGTGACCCACATGGCTCAGCAGACCTTTCCTGTCCCACCCGCTGCTCCCCTCAGCAGTGAATTTCAGTAGATCGGCCTGTTCTGCTCCCCACTCTGTCTCTGGTGAATCCTCTCACACACACCCCTCACCCACATCTCTGGCCTGTACCCAGTTCTTGTATGTATAAATAAATAAATCTTTTTTTAAAAAAAGCTGATAAACCGACAGGCCCAAAGTGAAGGGAGATAAGCCTTTTCTCATGGACAGTATGGTTCCTGCTCATGAAGCAAGTTCAGTCTTACTAAAACTGACATGACAGGGAACTTAAGACTTTCACCAGGCAGAAGGACCCACATCCTAGTTGTCTCCAGTCATGGATTTTGAATCAGGGCAGTGGGCCTACTTAGGGTGGGGAGCCTTGCTGAGTGAGCTTTGTGTAAACGGTGGCTCTCATTCTGCGAGCCGGAGGCCACTGCGGTGCTGCTTTTGCTACTCGTGTGTCTCCTACTGTTACAGGGCACCCCAGTGTGAACTGGGCTGCCTGTCTGTGGGGCCTTCCCTGCACGCTTAAAATTCAGTTATACTGCAGGCACACACAAAAGGGTCAAAATGGGTTTATTTACAAAAGGGGAAAAGAAAGCAACTGGAGTACCTTACAGGAAGGCAGACTTGGAGCTCTGGTAACAAACTAACTGAAAGCCCGAGTCAGATGGTCCAGAGAGCCATTTCCCACGCAAGAGAGCGAAGAAATGGTGCCCTATTTATCCCCCGAAGTCCCTGAATGCCTATTTAGCTCCGCCCTTGGGTCCTCACAGTTCTCTTCCTGGTACTGCTGGGAGTTGTAGTATTCTGTCACTGGAGTAGGGGGTAGGGTCCATAAGACTCTGCAGAGTTCCTTTAGGACGTCCTTCCCCTTAACACTACCAGATGTAAAGACACAGGTTTTGCAGTCTTCTTGAGACTGGGGACCTACAGGTACGTTCGTGTATGCTCGGAAGTTAGTGCTGGGCATCTTCATCCATGCAGTCTGAGCACAGTGGGTATTCTCCATCTACTTGTCGAGTGCAGACACATTCAAAATCAGATCCAAAACCTGGTCTGATTTCTGCCAGGCCACCCCACATTTCCTATTACAGATATTTTTGCCCTCAAAATACAAAACCCCAAGTTGGTCTTCCTGGTCTGATTCCCCTTTCACACGCATCATCCCAAGAGGCCCAGGTACAGCAGGAAGATACAAGCTGCAGCCACCGTGACAGTGTTTCAACTCACTTCTTGCCTTCTCTTTAGCTCCCCTCTCCCCAGAAGGGACCCATCAGTTCGCTAAGCCCTGATCTTCATGCCCTGATCTCCTTCCTAGATTCAGCTACAGGGACCCCTGTGCACCTCATTGCCATCTCAAGCTTTTCACCTAAAGCCTCCACTGTCACCCTCAGCTTGTTTCAAGTCTAAACTCGGCTTCCTAACAAAATCAGCACCTCCTGGAAGATATTCAGCCACCAAGGCTAAAACTCAAACTCCTCTACTCCACCTCTGTCCAATGGAAGGTAGTTCATGCCCAGACAACCACAGAATCCTGTTGAAGTCACGCGTCCCCCCGATCCTCATCTTCCTGCCCCCAAGCACATGCTTGGCCACCAAGAGCTCCTGCTCAAACTCTGCAAGCGCCTCCAGTCTCCACACTCATTTCTCCCCCCAGCAAATTGTCCCTCACTTTCCCGAAGCTCTGGCTTCACATCATGCCCACTATCAGGAACTCCGGGTGCTTATTACCACAGCCTGAAAGTCACACTTAGCTTTTCACAAGACCAGCATGCTTAACAGGCACACCGCAACTTAAGAAAATCTTCACTTTTCAAGATAACTCATCAAAATAGGAAAATAAGGGTTTTTTTTTTTCTTTTTGAATTTTGAATTTCAGAGAAAAGTTGAGCTGAGTCATCTCATGTTGGAATGACAAAAGCTCTTAAGCCTGCTCTTCATGTTGCTCCCACACACGCCAGCTTCTGGAAGACAGACTCATCGCAACAGAGCTTGGCCCTCACGGCCACTGTCCATGCAGCGGAGCTGCCGCAGCGGTAGCCCCTGCCCCATGCTGGATGTGAGGTCCCCTGCACAGAGAGGCTCTTCCCCCAGCAACCCTGAGCCAGAGGTGACCTTGGGAATGGGTATCCCTGCTCCGACAGAGTCACCGCACTGATGGGAGCAGCGGTCACAACACCAAATTCCTGCTGCAGATAACAAGCTCACACTTTCGGTGACACCCCCAACTGGTACTGGCAAGTCCTGGTGTAGAAGTTTCTGTGGGCAGTAATTATTAAGACGAGACATGTCAACTTCCCTTCCAAGCAAATTCTGAGGCCATTTTTATTTCGAGGGACTTCCCTACTGCTAACCTATTAAG